ACGCACGCACGCACGCACGCACGCACGCACGCACAAATTCATTATACAATCAAATCTACCGTCCACTCCACGAAAAACAAAACTCTGCAATAACCTGATGACGGATGACTCTTACGCAAGACTGATCCACCTCGGATCCAAATACAAAAAAAACATAAACCAGAAATGATTAACACAAAACATGATGCGTTAGAAATTAGGTGATAAAAAAGAATATTAACGATGATATCAATATGTTGGTGGGCATAGATGGAAGAGAAGGAACCGGTGCGTCACAAACCGGACCCACTGACCTGCCCGGTCAGTTGAGGGGTAGTGAAAGCGCCATCATAATGGCACATGTCAGGGCTGCCTCCTGACGCCTTGTTCACAATGGGGTAGAAGAAGTCATCATCGGAAGATTGCTAAAGTTCGTCTTTGATCTCATCAAGTGGGCGATTGACATGTGAAATACATTAGGTGCAAGAAATTCATCAGTACTTCTCGTTGTCTGACCAATGGAATATTTAAGCTTTGAAATGTCCTTGCCTTTTCCAGGTTCAGAGGTATGGTGCGATGCTGTTTAATGCAGTGTTCTTGGCTCATTCGGGAATTAAATCATTTGAATTGCCCAGGCTACTGCTGACTGCTTGAATACGGATTGAGTGAGTGAGTGAGTTTTGGATCTGTGACGTCTTTAGCAATATTCCAGCAATATCAGAGGCGTGGGACACCAGAAATGGCCTTCACATATTTGAGAAATCGATCACGGCCCATCGGAGTGGCGAATGGTCGCTTAATCAGTGGCTAGCTTACTGTCCCTTTATTAGTAGGATGTTCGCCAGATTTCACAATATATTGGGGACACTAAAAATGGCTTCATACTTTGTACCTATGCTAGGAGTCGAAAACATACAAGATAGATAGCAGGCTTGATTCAAGATCAGAATTTACGGGTATATGTTTCTGTGGCCTTTGTTTTGGGGGTATTTAAGAATAGGTTGTGAATAACATGCATATAGTGAGTGACAAACGTATGGGTTTCGGCATGCAATGACGATCCCATTGAAAAATTATATTTCGCAACAAAAGCCTTCTCTTTTAACCTTCTCATTTAGTCTGGTTCTTGGTTTTCTCTGCGCAACAACAACGTTTGACAATGACATATTACCTTCGAGATATGATATTTCGTCATATCACCAAATATACTGTGAAAAAGGTCAAAGGGCAAACAATGTCTCAGGGCAACCTTTAGAGTGAGTGAGTGAGTGAGTGTGGTTTTACGCCGCTTTAAGCAATATTCCAGCAATATCACGGCGAGGGACACCAGAAATAGGCTTCACACATTGTACCCATGTCGGGAATCGAACCCGGATCTTCGGCGTGACGAGCAAACGCTTTAACCACTAGGCTACCCGACCGCCCTGCAACCTTTAGAGTAACCCAAGCACCGGGTTGTCCTTTAAGAAAACAGCTTTCTGTGTCACTCAATTATGAAAAGGTGGAATCGATTAATTGTCCCGGTGCAGATGGAGTGTTTTGTACTGTGTTATGTTCAGTTTACAATACCCCGATGAACGGCAGTTGATCCGTGTCTCGCTGTTGTATACTCCAATACTCTTGTCACGAAAGTATTGACCCTCGATCAAAGTCTTCATTACCCTCGGTAAGCTCACCTTCTTGTAATTACATTCGTATGGATCCAGCTGTTTAAGTTAAAACCTCGTATAATCCGCAAATACTACTCAACGACACATCGGAACAGCGTGATGTGCTATCTTTTAATAGAGATAGAATTTTTTGTGTACAAAAAATATATATATTTTTTCGTTATATAGAGATATTCAAATTTGGCGATGCATTCCGATGTTTAACTTACTTAAGTGTTTTAATGTCAACTGAAGGACACAGCTGTATTCTCGACTGCAGATTCAAGTTATACTGACTGATGACACAGCTTCATCGATCTACATCTCCTCTTAGTTCATGTATAGGTATCTCAGGCGGTATTGTCTCGAGGGAGGTCGGGTATACAATAGCCTGGAACATCCACTCAGTGGACGATGTAAGAGGGACTTAGGGTACACTCGGTACAGATATGTGGTGAAGAGTAGAAGACACAGTAGTAATAAACAGAAAGTAAGTCTAGGATATACAGGAAATATAGAAGCGGGAGACATAGTATAGTGAGGTTGAGATATTGTACAGTTAGAGTGAGATAGAGTATATAGGTATGAGATATGGTACAGTTAGAGTGAGATATAGTATATAGGTATAAGAGATGTACAGTTAGAGTGAGATATAGTATATAGGTATGAGATATGGTACAGTTAGAGTGAGATAGTGTATATAGGTCTGTGATCTGGTACAGTTAGAGTGAGATATAGTATATAGGTATGAGATATGGTACAGTTAGAGTGAGATATAGTATATAGGTATAAGAGATGTACAGTTAGAGTGAGATATAGTATATAGGTATGAGATATGGTACAGTTAGAGTGAGATAGTGTATATAGGTCTGTGATATGGTACAGTTAGAGTGAGATATAGTATATAGGTATGAGATAAGGTACAGTTAGAGTGAGATAGTGTTTATAGGTATGTGATATGGTACAGTTAGTGTGAGATATAGTATATAGGTATGAGATATGGTACAGTTAGAGTGAGATAGAGTATATAGGTATGAGATATGGTACAGTAAGAGGGAGATAGAGTATATAGGTATGTGATATATCAATATGAAATCAATATTAATTTGTGTTATGCGTGAGTAACAGTATAATTGTGAGGTAAAATGCAGTCTGTGAGCAGATAGTTGGGTTAGTGTGAGATATGACGCTGTAGGTATGAGATATAGCACTGTGTGTGAGATTTAGTATGCTGCGACAAGTGTGAGATAGTACAGTTAGTGTGAGATATGGCGGTATAGGTATGAGATATAGCACTGTGTGTGAGATTTAGTATGCTGCGACAAGTGTGAGATAGTACATTAAGTATGATATATAACGCTGTAGGTATGAGATATAGCACTGTGTGTGAGATTTAGTATGCGGTTATAAGTGTGAGATAGTATATTAAGTATGATATATAGCACTATTGGTATGAGATATAGCACTGTGTGCGAGATTTAGTATGCTGCTATAAGTGTGAGATAGTACATTAAGCATGAGATAAAGCACTATTGGTATGGGATATAACACTGTGTGTGAGATTTAGTAAGCTGCTATAAGTGTGAGAGATTACAGTAAGTATGAGATATAACACTATGTGGGATTAAATATACTGTAATAAGTGTAGAGTTAGTGTGAGATATGACGCTATATGTATGAGATATAACACTGTATGTGCTTTGGTATGCTATTATAAGTGTACAGTTATTGTGAGATATGACGCTTCAGGTATAAAATATAACACTGTGTGTGATTTAGTATGCTATTATAAGTGTACAATTAGTGTGAGATATGACGCTTCAGGTATGAAATATAACACTGTGTGTGATTTAGTATGCTATTATAAGTGTGCAGTTAGTGTGAGATATGACGGTATAGGTATGAAATATAACACTGTGTGAGATTTAGTATGCTATTATAAGTGTGAGATAGTACAGTTAGTGTGAGATATGACGCTGTAGATATGAGATATAGCACTGTGTGTGAGATTAAGTATGCTATTATAAGTGTGAGATAGTACAGTTAGTATGAGATATGACGGTATAAGTATGAGATATAGCACTGTGTGAGATTTAGTATGCTATTATAAGTGTGAGATAGTACAGTTAGTATGAGATATGACGGTATAGGTATGAGATATAGCACTGTGTGAGATTTAGTATGCTATTATAAGTGTGAGATAGTACAGTTAGTGTGACATATGACGCTGTAGGTATGAGATATAGCACTGTGTGTGAGATTTAGTATGCTATTATAAGTGTGAGATAGTACAGTTAGTATGAGATATGACGCTGTAGGTATGAGATATAGCACTGTGTGTGAGATTTAGTATGCTATTATAAGTGTGAGATAGTACAGTTAGTGTGAGATATGGCGGTATAGGTATGAGATATAGCACTGTGTGTGAGATTTAGTATGCTATTATAAGTGTGAGATAGTACAGTTAGTATGAGATATGACGCTGTAGGTATGAGATATAGCATTGTGTGTGAGATTTAGTATGCTATTATAAGTGTGAGATAGTACAGTTAGTGTGAGATATGGCGGTATAGGTATGAGATATAGCACTGTGTGTGAGATTTAGTATGCTATTATAAGTGTGAGATAGTACAGTTAGTATGAGATATGACGCTGTAGGTATGAGATATAGCACTGTGTGTGAGATTTAGTATGCTACTATAAGTGTGAGATAGTACAGTTAGTATGAGATATGACGCTGTAGGTATGAGATATAGCACTGTGTGTGAGATTTAGTATGCTACTATAAGTGTGAGATAGTACAGTTAGTATGAGATATGACGCTGTAGGTATGAGATATAGCACTGTGTGTGAGATTTAGTATGCTACTATAAGTGTGAGATAGTACAGTTAGTATGAGATATGACGCTGTAGGTATGAGATATAGCACTGTGTGTGAGATTTAGTATGCTATTATAAGTGTGAGATAGTACAGTTAGTATGAGATATGACGCTGTAGGTATGAGATATAGCACTGTGTGTGAGATTTAGTATGCTACTATAAGTGTGAGATAGTACAGTTAGTGTGAGATATGGCGGTATAGGTATGAGATATAGCACTGTGTGTGAGATTTAGTATGCTATTATAAGTGTGAGATAGTACAGTTAGTATGAGATATGACGCTGTAGGTATGAGATATAGCACTGTGTGTGAGATTTAGTATGCTACTATAAGTGTGAGATATAACACTATGCGTGTGGGATATATCACTCAAAGTAAGATTTAGCATAGTATGTGTGAGCTTTAACACAGCAAGTGTAAGATATAACACTATAAGTGAGAGATATAGCACTATAAGTGAGATATATAACGCTATAAGTATAAATCATCACCTGCAAGTATGTCTTGGCTCCCGGTGCCCGTGTTTTGAACTGTACAGACAGCATAGGGAACACGAAGATATTCGCCATGATGCCAACAGCATACCAGAAAGGTCCCGCGATGCCATTCTGGAAGAGAAACAACGAGAGATAATTTATTCTGTGTATCTGCAAAGCATAATTAAATATGTGTGATACACTCCCAGGGTTAGTCCCTCTACAGACCCCAGTGTATATATTAACAACACAATTCACCTCACTTCCAGCGTGTACTCATACCCATTTCTTTGCATTTTTAAAATTATCTTACCAATTCTTGTAGAGAGTATGAACTGCTGGAAATACCACAGCGCTACTTCAGTAAAAAAGTACAGGATCTACCAAGACTTACACCAAGCGAAGTTGTATTGGATAGTCTAGATCTTATTACCATTCAGGCATACATTGATAAACAAGCTCTGCTCTTATTTGGTAAACTGTGTCGATCTAGCTGTGACTTCTATTTCAAACAACTATTTATTGGCAGACTTGGGCAATACAAATGTCAACCATATTTTGATAAAAGATGTTATAAATCTCCCTGTTTTAACATGCTGCGTATGTACATAAATACGATCTTTTCCATGTCTTGAATGATTATATAGCTAATTGTAATGTACCACTTAAATGTAAATGGACTAGTCTTGTGCATGAAAAGATAAGAAATGTAGACTCTGTTAGGCTTTTGAAACAAATGTGCGACAGACAGGACCTGTTAAGATATACTGGTATCAGATCAGAAGGTCAATACAGGATTTGGCAACTTTCTTTATGATTTCCTTCAAAGTTTTATGTTCTGTCTAATATCGTCAAAATAGGATGCTCTAAGATAGAATCGCGAGAAAGTCATTGCGGAACTGTTGCCAGTGACATAGTCAAACACATCTTTCTGTCATGTACTATTAATATGCAAGAAAGAAATGAAATGTTCGAAAATATCTTTAATATCACAGATGTGAATTCCTTTGTTGACCTTTGGTCGGATGATGATGATGTTATCATGTCTTTCCTCTTAGGCGGACTGCCTGATTGCATGAAAGACCTTGAGCTTGAGATATGGGGCGAAACTATGTTACTAGTCTCTCATTATGTTAACAAGTGGCAGCATTTGTTCATACCTCCTTCACTATAACTCCCCTTCACTATAACTCCCCGTGTTTTTCAGGTGAACAATTGATTTGCCTTTGCATGTGTTTGTGACGGATGCCGACGGTGGGGCAGGATACGCAAACGGTTTCGCGAACGCCTGGTAGCATCACTATTTGTTAGTGGTTCATTAACGCATGCTTGTGTTGTTGTCGGAATCGTATAATCGACTTTGTCGCTTTCAATTGTCAACTAAATTGTGAGATGTTATCCCATTTTATGACCTTTACACGGAGTTTTCACATCTCCTTACTCGCTGTCGCTTACTTTTCAATGAAACTTGTGTGCATTCGGTAGAGAAGGACATGCTTACCCTTTTCGCGAACACCTTGTGTCATCACGTTTTAAATTATTCAAAGATGAAATGGATGGGGTAGAAGTTATCACAACGTTGTCGACTCCCCAACTCAATGGTTAAATACGGTAAGCGAAATAAAGTCATCAGGGAAGCTTTTGCCATCCGACATTATGTAATGTCATTTCTCTAAATTCAAGTTAAACCAAACCGATTTCCAGGATCTACCATGATAAGACAGACACATGCCTAATATAAATGATTTTGTAAATAGTCATTCGCTTTTTATATAAACCGGCATTTAGTACTGTCGATTGGAAAAATTGGCATGTACCATCTTCTTAACTATTGCATGCGCACCCAAACAGATTAATTGCTCTGAAATGGAGTTGATATAATACAAATACTGGTCAGTGTGCCAGACATTTAACCCATAAACCCACCTCTTCCTTCATTGACTTACATTTGAACATCCCTACTTTATAACAGTAGTCATAACGCCGAAGGCTACGATGGAATAATCTTCAATATCTCCATTTAATTAAAAGACAAGGAGTTGCTTCGTGTTGGAAACCAAAAAAAAGAGTTCAACAGTTTTTTCAGAATACTTAACCCTAAATCGACACTTTATTCTGGTCTATTTTTTGTATTTGCCTTCTATTATGTTACATCTTCACTAAGGTAATAAGTCATTCATACAAATACCAGCCTGTCTTCCAATCAGACACCGAAAATACCAGCAAATTAATTGTAAATAGAGGTAATAAATTCGTAATTCACAAAATCATCAAGCGCGCCGTCATGTGCGATTCTCGTGATTGTCCCGACTGTCTGATACGGCGAAGAGGCTACAATGTCAGTGACAGCATCACGGCGTGGCGTTGTGGCAAGCGACACGGACACAATGAAGACGTTGATAAGTTGGCATTTTGAGTGGTCGAGCGATACGCGACTCAACTGATTATGGGGGGAACATTCTTCATCGATCCCGTCTGTCAATCTGGAGGTTCACACTACTGTCTGGCGTTAATTACGCTCTCATTTAACAGACAATTATCAGCGATCTGTGACGCACACTCACGTTCCACACTGTCCACGCTTCTGTGCCACTCATGCTTTCAGTGTGAATTACAAATAAACATGAAGAGCGATACGCGCTCTGACACGGCACTTTAAGACGAAAGGCTGTTTGTAGAAACAGCAACGGCGTCAGGCTTGGTTGTGTTTTTGTGTGGACATTTTTGCAATGAGATATTGAAATCAAGATCAAAGTCAACATTAGTTGTGAATTCAATTTTTAAACGCCGCCTTGATACAATTAGTAAGCTATAAAACGTTGGAACTATTTCATCTGTGTGATTTCATTTGTTACAGTTCAATCATTTAATGACGTGTCATTAAATAACGAAATCATGTTAAAGGCGTTTTTGCTCTCTTGACCAAATTTACAGTTCCAGCCTGACGCTGTTAGTGGTGGATATGGAACCATGCATCTAAGCAATGGTAATTAACACCCGCATCACTGGTTACGATTCCGGGGGAGAATACAGTTCAAAATCTTGTCTCTTGCGTACCAGTCAGTGCTCCCCACCATATGTACAAACTCTTAGTACTGGGTATCATCACCCTTTGCAATCTCATTAAAATCAGATCTTAGTTCTCGCTATCGCTAAACAAAGATCTGAGGACATCCCATTACGGGTCATGTCAGACCTACCTTGCGCGAATTTTGACCGACCAATGGAAGGACTGACAAGAAGTCGACATTAGCCAATCAGAGGGCCGACTTCTCGTGCTTTAGGGCACTCATTTCAAATTGGCGACTACGCTTCGAAACATTTTTTGACAAATTCTCGATTAAAAATTTGAAACCTGAACAAAAGAACATTCTGGAATGGCTAATATATGGTCTAGATTGTATGGATTCAGTCGTTAAACCCGTAACTATCGTTCGGAATACCCCGTGTTAAAGTTTTCGAGAGTGCATGATGAGAAATCACATTCCGACTGTCACTTTCATGATCTGGAAAGCGACGCTCTGATTGGTCGGAAGAAAGGTCATTCTGACGTGCCCCCTAATTGGATGTCCTCACATCTTTGTTTAGCGGTAGCGAGAACTAAGGTCTGATTTTAATGAGATTGCACCCTTTGAGAAGTTTTCGTTCAGCTGACAAGTTCCTCCTTGCTGTACCTCCCAACAAGTTAAAGACCATTGGTGACAGGTCTTTACAGCATTCTCCTGCAGGACTGTGGCATTCTCTCCCCATACACCCAAGATGCGCCCCTCCATTAACCGCCTTTAAATTCCAACTAATGACCCATCTATTTCAGCAATATTGATATTTATTGACAGTCTATTTGTATGAGCTTAGGGTATGTCCAGGAGGCGTGGAGTTAAAGCGCTTTACAAGTGGTCTCATTAATTAATAATCTTAATAATAATAATGATAATAATAATATAAATGGGAGGGCGGGGTTTGATTAACATTGGGGCTCTTCATGATGTAATTGTTTTGTGCACTTTTACACACATTTATTTGTCTGATGATCCTCTTGTGAAGCATGTCAAAACTCATGATGAAAACAAGGCATTCCACAGTTTTCGTAAACGAGCAAAGGATGTGGGACATAATCTCAATGTCAGTTTTCATTTTGCTGATGGCTCTGTACTGCAGGACGGTAGAGAAATGAGTGTCAACCAAGCGAGGTGCCATATCAAATTGGCCCAGGATCAGTTTTTCAAGGAGGGGCTATCTGAACGACTGCATCGAGTTCATGTGTAGTGTGTTGAGAAGGTAAACAAACCCTACAGAGTCCTTCGCTTGGATGAGGTCGGCTGGCCTGAAAAGTGAAACAGAAGGCTTTCTGTTTGCTGCTCAGGACCAGTCACTTCCCACTCGAAACCGTCAATGTGTGATTTTGCATCAAAGTGTATATATATGAAATGTAGATTATGCAATGAATTTAATGAGCTGTCCAACACATTGTCAGTGGATGCTCAGCTTTGGCACAAACACAGTGTCTTAAGCGACATGATGGAGTGGCTCGATCATTTTATTACCGTCTTCGCCATGCTTATGGTTTTGACACAGAGGTCCATCCAAGGTACGACCCAGAATATGTCGAGGGCGTCATGGAAAATGATAAATACAAAATTCTTTGGAATAGGCCCGTATACAGCCTCAGACGTATCCAGGCCAGCAAACCTGATCTTGTCCTTTTTGATAAATCCAATGAAATAATTAATATCACTGAATTTTCTGTCGCTTTCGAAATGTCACTCTTACATCCAAAATACAAAGTCGTCCGACTCCCCATTGTTCGCGGTGCCTTAGGTTTGGTACCTCCCAATCTGATGACTGACATTGGGGAGAGTTTCCAGGTTTGCTACCAGGAACACAGCCCTTCTGACAATCTGGGTAATGCAGAAGGCTGCAGTGTTGGGGAGTCTTCACATTCTCCGAAAGGTTCAGGGTGAATTCGACTAGGCAGCGCTTCCTGGGAGAAGTCCCATTCGCTGTCTGGGCTGCGTGTAGAGGGGGCAAGGGCCCTGAGCTGATGATGAGCCGAACCAGCCTGACTGTACCAGGATCCCCCCAACCCCCATAGCTTCATTTTTCATTTTAATCTGTACATACCAATAATAATT